GCAAACTGTAAATTTGACAAAATTTACAGATGATTTCCTCGAAAGAGGGTCACACTGGGTGTCCACTTTTTGTTCTCCTCCCGTACTAATTTTTGACTCGTAGCTTTTCCTCCTGTGTCGTTGATGTTGCCATGACCTTTTGAATTTGATTCCGTTTTAGACCGTTCACCCAATAGTAAGTCGCTTGTGTGTTTTTTTCATGTATATTTACAAATACACATGGAAGTTGTTTTTGGGTTCACTCAAACAGACTTTATAAATCAGCTTGCAACTTCCCAAAAAATTCATTTATTCATTCATTTGTATCTCATTATCTGTTTTGCTAATTAATATCGATGCCTGAGCAATCAGTTTGGAAAAACCCGACGTTCTGTTAGACCAACAGACGCTGCGCTGTTCATGTCTTCTTGATTGTTGATGAAACGTTCACAATGATGTCAGTCGAAAAACCGACGAACATTTACCTTTCCGAGCCACCATCATTCTCCTCCACAGAAACAAATTGGTCTGAAGGCTCAAATGAATCACAATTTACTTCTTCGTTCAATGTGTAATCTGACTGACCACCCTTGACAAACGTCAAACACTTCCCGTTCAACAAAGTTGGAGATATCACACTGTGCATTCCGAATGTCTTTACATTTGTACACCATCTAGCGCTGCTCAAAACTCATTAGAAGTCATCGTTTTGTTGTTTCAGCCATTTGTTTTCGCATAGAAACCACCACCACAACATGGGATCTAACAGACTGTATCGCCTCAGTGAATTACACAAACAGCTATCCAACTAACACAAAATACACCTGGAGAATTTTCCCACCTCAAGGTTGTCGTTCGATTACAGATTGAAGACTTCAATGTAAGTCGAATCGTTTTCAAGTATTTTCACGTTTTTTGAGGTGACTGAAATAGCATATCAGTGTCATTACCAATCGGTGACAAGCCCACCGCTTCCCGCTCATATGTTGCCATGATGCCTGGGATATTCAGTTAGCCTGATTGATTAAAACGGTGAAAATTGTAAAGCTAGCAAAATCTGACTTTGAACATTTGATCAGATTACAGTTTGAGAACGTAATTTTCTGAAATTTTACCGTTAAACTCCATTGACGTTTGACAAGATAAATGTTGGACGAATACCCGGAAGTCATGATATTTTAATATTTTCAACAAATGATGCAGCAACCTGAAAGGAAACACATGAGTGATGCAACCACTAAAATAGAAT